ACGGCGGTGATAGGATGATGATGATGACCAAAATATATATGTTAGAAAGCTCAATATATTGTACCAAAAAGTCTTCTAATGGATTACCTAAACACGTACTTTGATCAAACTTGGTGGAGAATTTAATCGAATCTCCCTAACTCTCGAACGATGTAATTCTCTCGTGTATGTAGAAGAGAAAATCGGCCAAGACAACATTGTAGGAGAGGTTGGGACATGGTGTATTTATAGGCTCCATTAGGGACCTTAAGAAGGTGCTAAATATAGGATTATACCATTAGGCCTAGGAATCCTAATTCTACTCCAATACTAATTTAATGTAGGAAGAAAATCTCTTACTAATCCTCTCATTCTAGTAGACTCCTAAGTCTCCTAACAATATAGAAGATCCTTGTAGGAATATCTTTCCGAATTAAATTAATAACCATAGAATAAAATTAATTCTTAATTTAAGAAGCCTTATTTTACTCCAACTAATAATATAATGTAGGAAATATATTTTCTACTAATCTTCACCTTCTGGAAGACTCCCAAGTCTCCTAATCCCAAGAGAAGATTCTAGTAGAAATTTTATTCTCCTAATTAATTAATTAATATGGAATAAAATTAATTCATATTTAATGAAATTAAATAATAAAACATCCCAGTAGAGTAATATTATTGCTCTCCCCATTTAGCCACTATTTTGCCAATAAAATCGAGCCTCCATGATTAAATAATATTAATCCGATTGATCGATTCACCTCCCTATGTTTAAGATATAACGTCCGTTGATTAATTAAATTACTGACAAAATAATTAATCAACTTCTTATTCATTTCCGAAATTAGTACCACTCAGACTTTAACCATTATGCCAGACAATCGTCTACCTGCAGGGTTTAACATAATGTTCCTTCCTGAGCTCATTTCGGGGACGTCATCAATCCAGCGCACTCGAACATAGTGACTGTAAATAATTTATAATAGCACATCATATAATTATTCTTACTTGCCAAAATACATTGTATGTCATCCTATTAAAATAGGAATTACTTGGTAAATCAAATAAATAAGAAATAAAAATATATGCCTATTTTATATTATCTTACAGCTTAAGAGAACGCATCAATCACTAAAGGTCTAGGTTACGACAACGATCAATGAGTCTCATATCCTTAT